CTGATAGAACTATCCAGTATAAATAAAGTTAGTTTAGTTTAGGTTTTCTCCTGTAGTAACACTGGATCAATAAGAGATGATCCTTACTGGACCTCTAGGGAGAACAGTTTAGAACTGATAGAGCTATCCAGTATGAATAATTCTTCTAATTTTTGTTTTAATTTTTGTTTTAATCTTCTAATTTTTGTTTTTGTAATGATTCCACTGATTTTTGTTTAGGAAACTTCTTAGAGAAATATTGTATTATCAAAAAACCAGATCTAACCATTTATAAAAATATCTTTGAAAAGGTAGGTGTCTTACCCTCAGCATTAGTATGATAGTATCTTAAACCAGAGCTTGGGTTCGTTTCTTTTGTGAGATATTCAGGAATAGATTTTCTTCAGTAAATATTTTGAGTTTCGGACTCCAATTGGAGATTTGCTTATCACTAACTACTTTTATCAACAGTTTGATGAAGATTGCGATGGATTTCTGTGGCCTGAAGAAGTTTTGGAAGCTTTGGAAAATGTCAACGCAAAACTTTTAAATGACGCACATTTGCGCTATGTATTTCGGGTACGTCAAACCATTCTTACGATTTCAAGCACTGGTTTTATGAAGCAATTTACATGTTCTTCGCACGCATATGACAAATGGCAAAACGTCACGAAATTTGAACCATTTCCCCATGCAAGAACTTGCGTATGGCTCAGATTCTTGTGACTTCGTCTAAAAGCCGACCACAATACAATTTTTTGCCTAAAACTTCGCATGCTACCTGCTTACAAGCAGTGAACTCTCTCTTTCTATATATATAGAGTTCACTGCTTACAACTTGAGTTCAGTGTTGGTAACTTGGCCTTTTTGCGGCCAAATAACTCGATTTTGGCTTTTTTATTTCTTGTTTGGCCTTGAAAAAAATGTTTGGCCTTTTGGCTCTATTTTGGCTTTTTATTATGCTTTTTATCAATTGACAGGAATTTTCACTATTTTTTAGTATAATTTTTTGTGAAAGAATGTTAAACCATAAAGCAACATGTAAGAATGTAAGAATTGGGTATCGTTGACAGAGATAACCTAATTTTATTCACACTCAGTAAGATCTCAGGAAATGCAGCCAATCGTAAAGCTGAAAAACTAACCAATGACAACATGGTAGCTATGTCTTCGCAGAGGTTTAAAATTTAAAATTTTGTATCTATCAACATACTGCAAAGTCGAAAATATTGATAAGATTTGGCTGTTTTTTTGCTTTTTTCAAAAAAATGAAATTTGGCCTTATTTAGTAGAATTTGGCCTTTTTTTAAAGGTCATTTGGCTTTATGCATGCGAGAAAGCCTACCAACCCTGCTTGAGTTGTACTGCGTAAATCAAGCATACAACTCACCTGCGACAACGTATAAGCGTGTTGTGGCTTGATTTACACAGTACAACTCAAGTTATAAGCAGGTTGCACGCGACAGTTTTAGGCAAAAGTTGTGAGGTGCCAATTGGCCTTAATTCGGTATTTATTTCAGACTTTACTTTCTTTTTAAAGGTGTTGGAACATTGTGACTGCCAGGCTGATATTGGAATCGGCCTTCGCTTGTTCTCACTCATTGCTGCACTGTCTCAGAGAGTCGCTTCACTTAAGTAAGTTGACAAAAGCGCTTTTTGAGTCGATTTAAAATTTCATTGGGAGATTTTAATGGTAGGGAATCTTGCACGCAACTTCCCATGTATATTTAAAAAATATTTCAAAGTTCATATTTAAAAAAACAAACCAAAAACGTTAGTGCCACAGCTTTCAAAATACAGGCTCCAAATTTTAGGAACCAATTTTATTTGCCGTATTCAAAGAGTGCAGCATCAAATTTTAATAAATTCTATAGCGACAACAATCATGCTATATATCACATTTTAATTTAACAAAAATTTTGTTTTTATTTCATCATAAATTTAGTGACAAAATGAAGAAGCTTATTACCAAATGTGACTTCAAGACACTAGACTGTACCTTAGAACGAGTGAAGGTTAGAATATTATTTATATTGGATAGCTCTATCAGCACTTATTGTTTTTCTTAGAGGTCCAGTAAGGGACCCGTCACAGAATAGACACTCTGGCTACGCCCATGATTTTGACGTTACCGTTGCAATGCCGTCGCCATGTTCCTAGCCAGTGCGCTTACGATAGGCATTCGCCCCCCCCCCTGGAAGTATTTAAAATGGTGGACGTTCAGGGGTAGCATACCTCTTTTGTAGAAGGAAATTTCAAGCGAAAATGTACACGCTTGTAGACCCAACCGGAAACCCCTACACGATCTTAGACCCAACCGGAAGCCCCTGCGAAAAATGAAACCATAAAGACCCCCCTCGGCAGGAATCGAACTTGCTACCCCGCGATTCCGATGCAGTGCTCTGACCACACTGAGTAATATACGCCTGTATTCAAAAAGCTCACTCACACTCAAAGAGTGGAGGTTCAATCTGAGCTTCCCTTGAGTGTCAGTGCTGTTTTTGAATAGCTGGAGGGTTAAGCAAAAAAAAATATGTGGATTTCCGGTTTCTTCTTATAAAAACTTAGGTAGGGTAAGTCGGTTTTAACTTTTTTTTTTTAACTTTCTTTTTTTAATTTTCCGAATAAGCGGACGCCATTTTGTTTAGTCAGTGCTTCCACATCCAAAGATAAATTTCCCTAATATTGCCCCAAATTTCAATTTTCCACAAACTTTTTCCTCTAAGTGGAAACACTTACAAGCACGATCCAGTGAGCTCTATATATATATCTGGAGTAAGAACTTCAGTCATTCGGTCAATGAGAAAAGTGAAGCCAAGTGAAGCCAAGATGGCGGCCATTGA